GAATGAGGGGTGTGAAGGGGGAGGGGTTGATTTGATTGGTTGCGATTTTTAGTTGGCGTTGTTGGTGTTTTTAAGAGGGTATCTTGGGTGCGTGTGTTAGTTGATCTTTATTAGATTTGTTTATGTGTGTTTAGTGGGCTGATTTAATGAGTTGATGATGGTGAATGGGGACTTTTAATGCGTTGATAATTGGTGAATGGGGTTTTGATTTGTGATGAATTGGTGTTTGGTGATTTTGAATAGTTTATGATGGTGATTTAAATAGTGATGAATGGTGTGGTGGTTTTAATAGTGAAGAATGGTGAATGGTGATTTTAATAGTGAGTTATAAATGGTGTGGTGGTTTTAATAGTGATGAATGGTGTTGTGGTTTTAATAGTGATGTGGTGAATGGTTTGATTTTTAATAGTTATATAATGGTGTTGGTGATTTTAATAGTTATGAATGGTGTGGTGGTTTTAATAGTGATGAATGGTTGATTTAAATTATGTGATGAATTGTGTGGTGACTTTAATATGTGTATGAATGGGGAATGGTGATTTTAATAGTGATGAATGGTGATTTTAATAGTGATGAATGGTGAAAAAACAGTCACCATCATTAGCATTTTAGTTATCCAATATTAAAAAAAAGACGATATTTATCATTATCCAAAAAGAAAGAAAGAAAGAAAAAAAGTCACCATCATTAGCATTTTAGTTATCATTATCAAAAATAAATAAATAAATAAAATAAAGATAAATGGAAATAGATAAATAATTAAAATCAAAATAAATGAAAATAGATAAATAATCAAAATCAAAAATAGATAGGTAAATAAAATCAAAAATCGATAAATAAATAAAATAAAAGTATAAAATGAATAAAAAAGATAAATAAAATAAGAAAATAGATAAATAAATAAATAAAAAATAGATAAATAAATAAAGTAAAAAATAGATAAATAAACAAAACAAAAAATCGATAAATAAATAAAACAAAGAATAGATAAATAAATAAAACAAAAAATAGATAAAAAACAAAACAAAAAATAGATAAATAAAAAAATAAATAAATAAAAAAGAATTAGATAAAAAAAAAAAATAGATAAATAAATAAAAGCAATCCTTCCCCACCTTCCAGGCATTCGGACAACGACCACATGCCCGAGTCGAACCTACCCTTGGTCGTGACACCCAGCGGGAAAATCACACACATTCCATCAATCAATTTCAAGTTCTATTGTCTCATGGATCTTACTTACTGGCCTCACGACGCCCACGAGTGCACGCTGAAGGTCGGGTCGTGGGCTCATCATGGCCACTTGCTGGACATCGGTGTAAATAGTACAGGGTTGGAGGTAGGTTTTGGGTTTTTATTGTTGTTGTTATTGTTTTTTTTTATTCATTTTATTATTATTATTTCTATTTTTTATTTTTTATTTTTTATTTTTATTTTATTTTTTTATTTTTATTTATTTATTTATTTTTTTTTTTGGGGGGGGGTTGTGTGGTTTCGTGTGTGGGTGTATGTGTGTGTGAATGTGTGTGTGTGTGTTGTGTGTTTGTGTTTGTGAGTGTTTGTGTGTGTGTGTGTGTATGAATGCGTGTGTGTGCGTGTGCGTTCATGTATTTTCTATCCGTATATTGTGCGCATAATATCCCCGCAAAAAGCATATCAAAAAAAACAAAACAAAAACAAAAACAATAAATCTCGACCAAGCAAAAAAAAAAAAAAAAAAAAAAAAATCCTACCAAAAAAAAAAAAAATAAAATCCTACAAAAAAAAAAAAAAAAAAAAAAAATTCTCGACCAAACAAGAACAAAAAAAAATCCACAAAAACAGTTTCAAAAGCAACCTCCCCCGCCCTTGACAGACCGACTTCAACGCCCACACTCTGGCCAACGGCAACGACATCACCACCGAAGACTGGCGAATCTCCGACTTGGCCATAAGGCGAATTTCCACCACATACAGCTGCTGTCCTGAGCCTTATGTCAGCGTCACCATCACCTTACTTGCCACGAGGACCGCCCCTGCCTTCGCGTGGATCGTCAAGACACCTGTCATATGTATGGTTTTATCTGTTTTTTTTTTTTTTTTTTTTTTTTTGTGAGACATTTTTCTTTCTTCTTCTTTCTTCCTTTATCTTTATTTATTTATTTTTTTTTTTGCCGCTTGGGCGTTTAATCTTTTTTTTTATTTATTTATTTATCTTTTCTATTCTCTATTTTTTCTGTTTTTAATGTATGTCTATTCCCATTTATTATTATTATTAAATTCTCTTTCATCATGAACCCTTCCTCCCCCTCCGTCGGCGCCTCCTGCAGGCATGAGCCTCCTGACGCTAATTTTCTTATTTCTCTCTCTCTCTTTCTTTCTTCCTCTCTCTTATTGACACCTTAAAATTCTCTTTGACATTGAATCCTTTTTCCTCCCCCTCCGTCGGCGCCTCCTCCAGGCATGAGCTTCCTGACACTAAATTCTCTCTCTCTCTCTCTCTCTCTCTCTTTCTTCCTCTCTCTTATTGACACTTCTTAAATTTCTCTTTGATCATGAACCCTTTCTCCTCCGTCGGCGCCTCCTGCAGGCATGAGCCTCCTGACGCTGGTGGTGTTCCTGCTCCCTCCTGCCGCGGGGGAGAAGGTCGTCTTCGGGGGACTCTGCCTCGTCCTCAACGTCCTCTTCCTCGACTACTCGGCCAACGTCATAGGACACGCCCCCTCGCACACGCCCCTCATCAGTGAGTTATTTTGCGTGTGCGTTTGTGTGTGTATTTGTTTGTGTGTGTGTCTGTGTGTGTGTCTCGGTGTTTGTTTATGTGTGATTGTGTGCTTCTATGTATTTGTTTGTGTTTGTATGAGTGTGTATTTGTGTGTTTGTTTTTGTGTGATTGTGTGTTTGTGTTTTGGTGTGGTTGTGTTTGTGTGTATGTGTTTATTTACGTGTGTTTGTGTGTGTAAATTTCTATTTATATATGTATATATACGTGTACCAATTACTCTATAAGTCTTTGTCTCGTAAAAATAACACATCTTTCCCCTTTCTTCCCTCTCCAGTCCAACTCGTGTGTCAACAACTCGTAAAAATAACACTTCTCTCCCCCTTTCTTCCCTCTGCAGTCCAGCTCGTGTGTCAGCAGATGGTGTTGGTGATGATCAGCGTGGTGTTGTCAGCCGTGGTGATGAGGATGGCCCGAGGACCTCACTCGTCTGGGCTGCCGACCTTCCTGAAGCGGCCGGCACTTCTCCTGACGTCCTGCCTGTGCTTGGGCAACTACAGGCAGACTGTGAGTTTTTTTTTCTTTTTTTTCTTTTTTTTTTTTTTCACTTCTCTTATATACAGTTTTTTTCAGGTTTTGTAGTGGTTTCTGATATTTGTTATTATATTATTATTATTATCATTATCATCATCATCATCATCATTATCATCCTCACCCCACCTCTCCTCCTCCTCCTCCTCTTCCAGGTGCTCACTCCTCACCCACCCTCCTCCTCCTCCTCCTCCTCCTCCAAGTGCTCACTCCTCACCCACCCTCCTCCTCCTCCTCCTCCTCCTCCTCCAGGCGCTCACTCCTCACCCACCCCTCCTCCTCCTCCTCCTCCTCCTCCTCCAGGCGCTCACTTCCTCACCCATCCTCCTCCTCCTCCTCCTCCTCCAGGTGCTCAAGACCAGCGCCAGCTTCGCCAGCTCCCGACGCAAGCCCGAGGACGAGCTGGAGCTTGGCGACGACGGCAGCTCGGAGATGCGTCGTCGGGAGAGCGGCGAGGCTTGCGAGTGGCTCCTCCTCGCCGCCGTCGTGGACCGCTTGGCTCTCCTGCTCTACGCCGCCGTCTGCGTCATCAGCCTCATCCGGTTCAGCAGCGTCCTGTAGAGTGCGAGAGATATGTGTGGATATCACAGGAGGGATATCAGCGGCGTCCGGGTAGGTGAGTAGGGGCCTGTAGGTGCCGGTGTCCTGTAGGTGTCCTGGGTGCTGTCCTGTAGGTGTCTGTAGGCCTGCCGGTGTCCTGTAGGTGTCCTGTAGGTGTCCTGCAGGTGCCGGTGTCCTGTAGGTGCCGGTGTCCTGTAGGTGTCCTGTAGGTGTCCTGTAGGTGTCCTGTAGGTGTTGAGGTGCCTGTAGGTGCCGTGGCCTGTAGGTGTCCTGTAGCCTGTAGGTGTCCTGTAGGTGTCCTGTAGGTGGTGTCCTGTAGGTGTGTCCTGTAGGTGTCCTGTAGGTGTCCTGTAGGTGCGTGCCGGTGTCCTGTAGGTGCCGGTCCTGTAGGTGTCCTGTAGTGCCGGTGGTAGTGTCCTGTAGGTGTCCTGTAGGTGGAGGAGCGTCCGTAAAAAATAAAGAAAAAGAAAAAAAGAAGAAGATTTTTTTTTTTCATTTTTTTTATTTTCTTAAATCTTATTTTATCTACCATTATTATTAGAAAAAGAAAAAAAAATATATAGTTTTTTTCATTTAATTATATTTTGTATTATTATTATTACTATTATTTCTTTTATTATTATTATTTATTACTATTATTTCGTCGGCTGCCTCTTGTAGAATATTTTCAAGGTCGATAGATTTTTTTAGATTTTTTTTCTTTTCGAGATCTTGGAAGCCCCGGATGAAATTTTGTTTTTCTTAATGTTTTGAAGTAGATTTTTTTTCTGATTTATTCATATATTCTTCTTTTATAATGTGATTTTTGTGGACGACTACTTGCTAGAGGATGAATTGCTTTTGAAAAACGAGAAATGAATAAGGAAATATGTCCCTGAAATAAGAATATGTATGGATATGCTATATTCTTTAAAGCTCAAAATAATTATAATAATAACAATGATAAACAATAAATAAATAAAATGACTTTCTGTTTGTTTTACGACTCTGATTATCATTTTTTTTACATTCCCTTCTACATACAACTTCTTGTGAATCATTATGATCAATTCTAGTTTATTTCATCTATAAAACTGTTCCATTGTTCAGGAGAAGCAGCAAGATCAACTGTACACTCTTATATCTCTTTTCTTAAAACAACATGTTTCATTAACAATATTTATGATGAAAACATGAGACACATAATTATTTTTTTTTCTAATGGCTATATTAGCTCCTAGGAATGTGATGTAGATTATTTTTTAACAATTTTAAATGCTCAAATTTCTGAATAATAAACTGATGAGGCAAATAGATGCCGGAGATAACATTGTGTTTCATTATCCATTATTAGTGAAATAAAAAGCGAAAGAGGAAGAGGGTGCGAGGAGAGACAGAAAGAGAGAAAATAAGAGAGAAAATAAGAGAAAGACTGAGAGGAGAAGGAGAGAGAGAGAGAGAGAGAGGAAGAGAGTGGAGAAGAGGAGTAAGACTGATTTATAATTACTATACACATATATGGTAAGAGATGAAGTAGAAGATGAGATGAGAGTATATAATTATTAAGAGTGAGATAGTAAGATATATTAGTAGTAGTATAAGGATGATATATATATATATATAGAAGAGATATGATGAGAAGTGTATAGTTACATATATATATATAGTATCATAATATGAGTAAATATAGTTATTATTAATAATATACTATATATTATATATAGTTTATATTATATATAAATATATGAGATATTACTATAGTATTATATACAGTATATAATATATATGTTATAAGTATATAGATATACTATATGTAGATATAGATTATAGATAATAGTAATATAGTATAGATAGTATATAATAATATATGATAATACATAGATATATATATGGTATAATAGCTAATACATGTGAATTGAAAAGTTGATGATTCGCAGAGAGAATAATACATGGGATATTAAGAAGAGGAGACGATACTGAAATGGAATAATAGAGAGAGATATAGTAAGATAGAGAATGATTATAGAAGATGATAGTATATAGAGTATGAGAGAGAGATACGACGAGAGGTAGTAAATAGGAGAGATAATATATGAATAATATGAGTAAGGATACGAGAAGAGGATGAGAGATGAAGAGATTGAGTAATAAATGAGAATAAACGGAAAATATGAAGAGAGAATAGAATGCACAGAGACAAAGATAAACAGGTATACAATTAAAACAGTAACTGGCAGACAATTATATGAATCAAACAATTCAGTAGAAATAAATAATACAATAATATCAAGATATTTTTATCTATTAATTTATATATATATTATGTACAATAATATTCATATAGATTATCATAATAAGTATTATATTATGTATATATATACATTATAATATTGTGTAAATTATATTAATATATTATTATATTAATATTATTGTTGTATCATTATTATATAATATTATGTATATTATATTAATAATATATTTATAATTATATATATATATATTACATTAATATTAATTTAATTATATATATAATATATATATTATATATTTATTAATTATTAATTAATATATATACATTTAATATATATATATATTATATATATATAAGTATATTTATTATAGTATATTAGTGATAATATGTGTATTATATATTTAATATGTATATATATATATATATTATTATATTAATATATATATTTTATATTATACATATTTATAATATTACTATATTATTTATATATATATTAATATATATATATTAATATTATATATATATATATTAATATATATATATGTTGTGTGTGTGTATATATATATATATAGCTGTAAGTATATATATATGATTTATTATATAGTATAATGTTGATGTGTGATGTGTTGGTGATAGTTGTGTGGTGTTGGTGTTAGTAATGTAATGTGGTTGTGGTGTGTGGTGTATGTAGTGTGTGTTGTGTGGTGTATTGTGTGTGTGTCATGTGTGTGTTGTGTGTGTGTGTGTGTATGTGTGAGTGTTAGTGAATACATTACATACCATACTGATATATCTCTGTGTAGTTAACTACTATTAATCATATACATATATCATCAATATATAAACTATTATACATATATTCTATTATAATAATGTATATATATTCTAGTTAGTATATCATTCTCATATACATCGACTGATAGACTGCATCACACACATCAGTATGCATGTATGATGTGTGATTATGTCGCTCGCTTGGGTGTGATCGTATATGCTTGTGTGTTGTGTCAGTGTTTTATGATTGTATGCACTAGCGTCGCGCAACAACACACACACACACACACACACACACATACACTAACAACCACTAACAACTCAACACCACAAAATAGCACTCACAACTGCTAACATAATCGGCGACATCATAATTACTGTGATATATATATATTTAATAATAAGTTTAATAACATATATTAATAACAATATACCCTTTACGGCTAAAGTGTCTTAATGTTACTCACGTCTTAATTTTCGGTATATAACTCAAACATCTGATATATATATATATATATAGTATATGATGAATTGGTGATATATCTCCTTGCATAATAGATATAATGATCCCCAACAGTATGAGCACTCTCAAGGAAATGCTCTCAGCCTCCTGAGAGCAGATGGTCGAGTGAGAAAGTGGGAAGTCCAAGTCGAAAGTCTGGCCGACAGAAGCCGAAGATAGCGCACCCAGGTACAGTCCGCCCAAGAGCTATACATTGCGCAAGAAGTACACCCAGGAATCAGCTCACGCCTGAGAGACCGACTTTCGTACTATGTACAGCTTCCAGCATCTCAGGAACCGTGTCAGACACCAAACTGAGCGCTCACGAGGTGACAGGGAGACCTGCAACACGGAAGTGCCGCTCTAGAACGAGGCCGGGAGAGGAGATTACAGGATGCCGCTATTACGCCACTGGTCGCTCCCACTGCGGGAGGAAGAGACCCACACAGCACCCTTGGTAGCTACCACACCTTTGGTCGGCCGAGAGGAAGGGGGAATCCGAGAGGACAGGTGCGCCTTTGGGGTGGTTCTTGGAGGGTGGCCTAGAACGTACCATGGATACTTCCCAGGATTCCGCCTCTTTGAGCCCCGTGTGAGATAGTGGATGAGGCTCTGAGTGGATATGATCCTGCTCACTTTTGCTGCGAGATTAGGTCGCGAGTGAATGTCTGACTCGTCATGGATGCTCTGTGTGATGGATTGCTCTCTCATCGTACGTGACGACAGTCAAATTGTGAGCCAATCCTTAGATGAGGCTGACTGATGTTCGAGAAAGGTCCAGTCCTTTGAAGAGCCTCGAGAAGAATCCCCTAGCTGGACTAGGTCCTCGGCCCACAGAGGCCCCACCATGAGGGGAGACCCTCGTGAAGTCTCAGGCCCAATAGATGAGCCTAGTAGGAGGTAATAAACTAAGGAAGTAGCCCTTGAGGCCCGAAGATAAGAGATCCAGGAAGTAGGTCACCAAGAACCTTCATAGTCTTTTCGGTGATATAGTTCGGGAATTTGTTAAGTTATCCGCACAACTGATAGAATACTAATTGATATGACATCATATAACGGATAATAGGTGAGAGGGGAGGAGGAGTGAAGGTAAAGGTAGGTATCATAAAAGGAGGACGGAGTATAGTATATAGAGTAAGGTCACAAGGTGCTGTGGTGGATGGATGTGATGTGGATGTGGCATGATATACATTACGCGACACGAGCACAGAGGAATTGATATGAGCATGTTGAATGAACAATCACATATTATCTGGTGATATTAATGATGCGTCTCTCATACTGCTTTTGATGTGTCGACATATTAAATATATGTTAGGTACATGTCCCACAGCAGTCACCTTGACCTTGATCAATGACCTTACTGAAACAAGATGTTATAGATAGGTGTTAACTGACCATAACATACATTTCTATATTTGATATATATACTATACTATTTATGACTGATTATATATATTATATTATTACGATTATATATAGTATAATATGGTATATATATATATTATAGTATTTTATATTATA